AAAACTAATATAATAGTTACATAACTATTGATATATTTCAACCATTCTTTTTTTCACATTTTTTGATATGAGATTCTAATTCATCGTATTTACAAGAAAATAACATACTTCCACAGTTTTGCGCTTCGGACTATATATAGAGTACAGAGCCAGTTTTATACTTTTACGTCCACTCTCATCTTAACACCCTATTCATTGGGCCATAGGTTGAGGAAGCAAGCGGGAGCCCGTAAAATGGACCGAGAATTGGGCTGGCCTGCTGGATTAAAATAAAGAGCCCGTAATATTAATCAAGAAGTTTTGTGTTTTACTGTTTTCTGATTCACCGTCAATTGAAGTATTGAACCCATTTACTTGGGCCATCTTTTTTTTTTTTCTTTACTACTAATAACAGAGGGACACATGAATGACACCACGCTACGAAAACTGGAAAACCGATTGGTGTGCAGTTTCTTATTTTGGAATCAATGGGTGTGTCCGAAATTTCTTAATTTGGCTAAGATGACTAGATGAGTTTTATCGTGGTGATCGATCTAGTCCACGGGATCCCTATATGTACCCTTAATATTCTTCTTCCAAGATAAAAAGAAACAAAGAACGTGAAATTTCAAATGATATGACCAGAACTGCGCCGTCCTTATTAAACAACTAATCTAGATAAGATTAAATGTGCATGAGGGGAGAAGATGTCAGACATTCGTTACAGAAAACACCACTAATTATCGATTATATTCGTGGACAAAATGAAAGCAACCAGCTAAGCGGGATTATCAATCTAATTATTATATGATTAAACAGGGGAAAATGTTGGTGCTCATGTGTTGATTTAAATAATTTCCCATCCTTATGTCTTCATTATAATGCTGATAAATTAAGTGCCCCCCACTATCCCACCACACACTACCTACTTAGTTTTCAATTCTTTGTAACAACTCAATTATATTGAGCTTAATTTCCATCCTATCCAATCCCGGCCACATGTTAATTGATGATGAAATGAGCTTAGCCTGCCATTTCATGAATACTATAATGTGCATGTAATTGTCAGTTTGTTACATAAAATTGCAGCTAAAACCTTAAAAATTTGTCCATGGTCATCCTTTTGTATGTAAGCATTAATTTTAATAACTTGCTTCTAACCTTCTTCATTTAATTTTATATGCTTATTGTTTCGCTGACTTTTGTTTTGATCTGAAATGATCAAAGCTGTTCACATGACTGTGTCCTGTCCATGCATTAGCTACTTCCCTAGTTATAGAATATAGAGTACCATAGAGTGTGAACTGTGTAGTTGGTTATTTTTGCCGTCACTTCATTTAGGGTTCTTAATTCAATTATTGTCTATTAGTTATGATATTAAAATTG